TATGGAAATTCACATGTAATATATAAATACAAGAAATAGATGTAGAATCAATCTCTTTCTTTAGATCTTCAATTCCAAGATTTGAGTTTTCATGATATTGGTGTTAATTGCCTTCAATGCCTTCACAGGCTTCTTCTACTAGTCAAAGTATGTTAGACCCAGAGTTTCGACGCTCCAAAGATGTTAAATCGCTGCCCATATTGCTTTCATAGATTACACGGCTTAAATAAGGAAACAAATTTTTTCCTCTAGATGTTTACTTGCATTGCCTTGTTTGCTCTCAAGTTTTTCTTTACAATAGGCATTGTGACCACAATGCTATATATTTTCGATCGCAAGCCTACATCTTTCTTTTCTTTCACTTTAGTCCCTGGTTTCCATCTATTGTACTGCGTTTGTCCCTTGTGATTGCAACTAAGGCCCTTCATCTTCCAAATCACACCCACCTGATCCTCAATCTCCAACTTAAGCATATAATCCATCAATTTAGTTTGCTTTTGGTTCCTTCTTTACAAACTTCCAACATCAAGTTTCACCTGAACAAATAATATATACAAATGATTGAGCTATAATTCCTCAAAAGCATTCTCAAATATCCATGTTTAGCTGTTTAGATAAGTGCATAAAATACACTTATCAAATATCCCAAATTTAAACATTCGTTTATTCTTGAACAAAATTATACACATATCTCAACAAGCAAGCATGCAACAAATTTTTTCATATAGCTTTGTTTTTGTCTCAGTATTGGAATTCTAGTGTCCAATCTAAGAATAACTTCAAAATAATAATACAAAACCAACTTTCACTTATCCAATGTAAAACTGAACATATTAAGACAATAGAGTCGTCAAGAAAGTTACTTATTAATATAATAAAAAAAAAAACCTTCAAAAATTTAACCATTGTAATGGTTTGATTTGCATTACTGCAAATTTTGGGTCCTTGCAATGGTTTGATTTGCATTACTAATTATGAAACCATTGTTTTGTGTAATCCCGTGTTACAAGAATTTTATTTACTCCCTGATCGTCCTTTTCCGTACCCACATGGTTTTAGACCGATGGAATTAGGGTTAGGTTTGGCTTTGATCCATGTACTAATGACTACAAAGTTTTTCGAATGCTGGAAATTGTAAATGAGGATGACGATGAGTATTGGAGTATCGACTGCATCAAATATGAGATATACAATTTAAGTACTGATTCCTGGAGAGAAATTGATGCTGTAGTGCCACGAGCTTTGCATTCCCTTTGTTTTGAATTGTTCTTTAATGGAGCATGTCACATGTTATCAAGAAGGGCATATTTTGGTCCAATTATTCTTTGTTTCGCAATAAGTAGTGAGGTTTTTACAATCATAGACTTTCCAGAAAGTTGTTCAGAGTTAGATGGAAAACATTCTAGTTTGACGGTTTTAAATGAGTGCCTTGCAATGGTTCGTTATCAAGAATGGATGAAAGAACCACGTCTTATAGACATTTGGGTGATGAAAGAATATGGTGTGAAGGAATCTTGGATCAAACAATTTATAGTAGGGCCTATTCTCCTCATGTGCCCATTATCATCTTGGAAGAACTATATGCTTCTTATGGAAAGCGGCGATGGGCAATTAGTCTCTTGTGAGCTTAACACCAACACATTTAAGAAATTTGAAATCTATAGTGATCGTATAAATTCGTTGCGTGTCATAATATTCAAGGAGAGCTTAGTTTCAAGAATAAACACGTGAACATAATAATTAAGCAGAATTAGTCGATGTTTTTATATTCCAGTGATGCCTCCATTCTTTATGCCATCAAGAATCTATACATGTAATCTATATTTTCAATCATTAAGTTATTATAAATTTATTCTTTTACTTATATCTTACAAAAAAAAATTGCTCCATGTCACTTCTCGATAAACTATGTTCTCCAAATTGCAAGTACACAATACAACAATAAGTAATTAGTAAAAGTAGATTTTGAGTCGAGTATTGATCTTACAAGAATTACGTTGCTAAGTACTGAAATTCATGATCCTAAATTTATTTGAATATATTTTGAAGTGTGATTTTAAATTAAAACTACTAAAAATGAATAAAAACAAGATTCGTTAGAATCAATGAACTTATGATGTTAGGACTTCACTATTGTATTGTATTGTAGTTCAGATTCACTTTCTAGATATTGACAATAAAAAATTATGTGAGCGCCCCAACTCATCTTCTAAAGCTCCGTCGAAATTTGTAATTTATCTTACTTTAATCCCACCTAAGGACCATCTGATACATAATCACTCGTCAAGTCTCAAGCAGTTCATTGATATAACTAAGTGTTAAAAAATATGGAAGATAAGGAGATTGCACAATATATTAACAATATTATTCAATTTTCAAGAGTTAAATCAAATAAAAGTAGTTAATATGACAAGTTTTTTGGATTTTTTATTGGATATTTTAACTCTTTAGACTCAATAAAAATAAGAACATTAGCTAAATCGACTTGACTTAACAAATCAAATGAATTAGCACACCATAAGACTCTACATCCAAACTTAAAATTCACATTGTCTTCAATGTATATCATATAACAAATGAAAAATAACTAAGTTAAGATGGTCAACTAAACTTCCCTAGTTTTGATCTTTGTAGATGGAGTATTTATTGTTGATATTGAGAACGCCCATGTTACCATATTGAGAACGCCCATGTTACCACCTTGAATCTCAAGCGCAAGCATCAATGTTGATTCATTAGCTTTGGATAGTTTACTCTTTAAACAGAATCTTGATACACAATTTATTCGGGAGCTTGGCTATCATCAATTGAGTTTTTCCTTGACAATGTGCATCATAGCCTCTGAACGTATTTGCAACACAAGAAACTTGTTATAGTTGAGAAATTGTTCCGCCCAAGTTTTGACATAAAACACCCCATATAATGTATGTGTGACCTAAAGCAACATATAAAATGCCTCAAATTTTCAACAATAATTGAAATCCCAAGTTCAAGAGGCATAACCTCGGAATAGTAGTTTTAGCCATGCTTGCTTAAGATTGTGTGTTGATGAGATGAGAAATGGCGTGAATTGTGTGCTAGGTGATGCAACTCTGTTGATAATCAAATATTTAGGTGTAATTTGGGTTAAAATGTATGTTGTGGTTGGAAGGCCGAGAGAAATATGGTTAGTCTCACTGTGAACCGCCGGTGTCAATTTTAAAATTGATAAAATTAAGTGACTTTTACCGCAAATGCTCTGCTGCATCTTGTGTAGCGACCAATCTTTTGTTCATTCTATAGCACTAAAATAGTCTGCAGCAATGGACCTAAAAGCCATTGTTTGATCATTGCAAGTGTACAATGTCAATTAAACTAGTAAAATGGACATAAAGAGTCTAAACTATAGTTCACGAGGACTATCTATTTAATGATTGACCAAATTATTCCTAAATCCTATTTGAATAAAGTAAACATTTATGGCAATGTTTAGATTCAAACTAATATTAATTACCAAACAGTACAAAAACAATTAAGTGTGAATAAACGAATAAAATATGATGGTTAAAGCATTGCGTAGAGCCGGTCCCAAAAAAATTTTGAGGCCCTTAGCGACTCATTATTATGAGGCTGCTAAATGTAATATTTTTCAAGTCTAAAGATAATTAAATATTTAAATAAATAATATATTTATATTTTAAACTAAAACTTGGTACAATCCAAAAGATAGAGTAGCAAAAAAATATTTGTCTCAAATAACTTGAGAGACAAGGGTAACATAATATTTAGCAAAATTAATCCCTAATATTTTATGTACTTTGATTCGAGAACCTTTTAATAATTTTGAGATCTTGAGTGATTAAAGTGAAAACAAGTTTCGAAGAGAATAATATATTTGGATCAAATGAATATTTATTTGAGGATCCAAAATTATTCTACCAATATTAGACTTATTTTGAAACTCATAAAAAATAACGCATTATGGACTCGAGAAAAAGTTAATTTGGTTAAACCAAATTGTAGTTATAACTCATTAAAGTACTTAATGTGGAGTATTAGTTTTCAAATTATACCATATTACCATAATAATTTTAGGCTCATTTGGTAGCTCATAATTAATCATGAATATTAAAAT